GAAGTAAACTCGGCGCAGCTTGCAAACATCGACCTATTCCTTGATGCTGGTAACTCGATCAAGGTGGTCGAGTCATCACATCACATCGAGTCACAGTCATCAACATCCTCCAAGACTTCTCCATAAAATCGCTTTGGTGTCTGTGGCACATGAAAAACATGCCCGAGAAGAGAACCATGGGCATTGCTGGTTTGAACCGTCTGGCTTGTCATCAGAGTTGCCATCTTTCTGGCTGGGAATGAATGCCAAAGGACCAAACTCAGGGGGTAACCCACACAAGCGGCGGCTGCTTCTTGCTCTGGCAGATTTAGCTTTCTCCAAAATGGCCGACACAGCTGAAGTACACGTACCCAGCACTTCCACCAGTAATGTCACGAGCAAATTAAGACCGAAAGCCAGGAGTTGACTTGCTCCAGAGCAAGGACAATGTTCTCTTCTTCTTCTCAGCCCAAAACCAGTATGAGCCACAACAGCTCGTTCATCAATGGTGGCATGCGTCAATATACATCGTACACCATTTGGCAGAACTCAGAGCTTTGAAACATTAGCACGCTTTCGTTATCAGTGGCAAGATGGCGCGACAGGCTCGCGCTAGGTGAAATCTTAAGTCTGTCGCCTCCACGAAGCACTGCCTCTAAGCAGTGTCGTTTCTCTTGCACGCACGATTATCAGACTCATAATTCCAGAGAGGACGAAGGTCACTTCCCAGGCTTCTACTGCCGCATTTACAAAAAGAGTGCGCTGATGACAGACGACGCAGAAAGAATTGTGACAGTTGTTCCTGCTTGTCCTGTGTATACATCTGAGCTTGTTTCATGGGTCTTTCGTCTGTGTTAAAAGCACGCTTCAAGTGTCGAGCTGTGAAAATTGTTAGTCTGCGTTTGTCCGGTGTTGGCTAATTTCGTGCGTGCTTTCTGCTTGAGGTGTTCACTGCATGTTTCGAGCTGCTGGCCGTTCCAATGTGACTTCAATTTGTTGCTGTTGCTAGAACAATGCACAATAAATGGCCAACTACCTCTGTAAAGAACTTTGGTGGTGCTATAGCATAACCACAAGGAGTCTGTACTTCTGTAAAGTTCACCTACCAAGTGCATTTTCCAAACAAGACATGCACATTGTTTCATGCAAAAGTCTGTCAAAAGTCACCATGTTGCCAAAACAAACAAATTCAAATTGATTCTGAAAATTGAGTGGCTAGACTAATTATTAGAAAGTGGTAGTTGCACGAGAAACAAGTTCCACATGCCTATATCGACGATCCAAAGCAACCATCGCTGGAAATCTATTTGAATAGGCGTGGTAACGAAACAGTTAATCAACTCACTCAGTTAAAAGTCTGACTCAATCATATTTCTAGTACTTTTCAAAAAATTAACTTCAGTGCAAACACACGACACATTTATGCACAAACACACCCAGGCCAAACATGCATGTGTGCGTGTTTGCTGACGGGGTGTGTGTGTGTGCGCGAGTGTGAAAAATATAAAAGAACGAGTTGTTTCATATATTTAGTATATTGGCCCTTTTAGCTCTACTTCAAGCCACACCAACCTCCTGTGTCACATTGAGCAATCAGTATGCCAGTCAAGGTCAATCGCTTTCAGCCTGCATAAGGAAGGGTCTTGTACCAGGCGAGGTCAGCGCCCTTTTTGCTTCTTTCAAGGCTTCAACAGGACATGCAAAGCATATTTGCAAGATTATTCACTGTGAGTTGTGGGTCAGACTGTGGTGGGATTATGTGCAGGTTTACTGCTACTCCTCGCACCCTTCCTGGATTGCAGAGCAACAGTTCCAGATTCTCAAATATAAGGAGGGGTGCTTCATGGTGTTCACAGGGCGTGTGTTCGACAAGGCGCAAGAAGTAGTGGCAAAGATTTTATTACACATGAAAGTAAAGGTCACGAGAGTCAAGAAAGAAGCCTTAGTGCTACGTAAAGATCTTAACCTTTCGGGTTTATTGATGGCCATAAGTAAATGCAAAGCTGTCTGATTACAGGTTCTTATCACTGCTAAATCACACGAAGAAATTATATTGTGTGCTATCAAAGCAAGAGAGGCTCCTGGTAGCAGGTAATTCACCGGTTCCTTTTAAAAAACCTACAAATCTTGCATGTTAATGGTGCTTTGATCACGAACTGTTCCAAAAGATATTATCAGTTACTTGTAAGGAAACGCCACTATTGCTCACGGCTTTTCTGCAGGTGTAACTGATTTATTTTATTCTGTGCCTATACAAGAAATGTTTGCCTATATTAGGGATTGTATTGGCTGTATCGGTGTAATAGATTTTCAGAAATTTGTGGGTATATTTGTTGAGAATTTTACGGTTTTGGTAGAATTTTATTTGAAGTCCACCCTCATTTTTTTCAACGACTTGTACGTTCAGCACCAGGGAATATGTATTGGCTCTTGCGTCGCCCCATTGTTGTGTGACATCTTCTTGGCGTCTGTACATCGGCACTTGCTCTGTTTATTTGACGATAGATTTTTTCTTAAAGATATGCTGATGCTTTTTTAATTCTTTTAAAAACTGACCCTGCTTTTACATTTAATAAGTGAATTAACAACATTTTAGCCACCTTTCAGCTGCATGCTTTTTACACATAAATCCCCTTCCCAAAGCACTCTTCACTTTTGAGACTTTTCTTTAACATCTGACCAAAACCATGTTTGTTGGCAATACAGCCCACATGCACAGAAAAATATGCTCCTGTACAATTCCGCCCACTCAAAAATAGTCAAAAGAAGCAATTGCTACCAGCTGTCTTGAGTCCTGCCCTCATCAAGTCATGTCTTCACTCTATGCGGAAGAGTTTTGATAACCGATTGGCAAGCTCTATTCAGCCAGTTTCCAGAGCTCCGTCGTAGTGGCCATCTCAAAAACCCTTCTTTAGAAGCTGAAGGGCACCAAAAAAAAAAAAAAACGTCCTGCCCCGTTCATAAAGGAGGCAAGCCCAAGATGGTACCGTACGTCCACCAACTTTTCTACAACCTAAAAATGGTTGCCAATAAGCACGGTGTCACGTAGTCTTTTTGTAACCCCACAAATTGGCTAGACTGTGTCCACGGGTCAGCCGCATTGACAAAAAGTCCGGATGCCAGAAGAAGCACACCACACCTTATGTGAAATGAGCGATGAGTGTGGCGTATGAAAAAATACGGCAGAACCCACGTGCCTAATGAATCCATGTTATGCAAAGCATGCGAAGGGAAGGCGATCGTGTTGTTTTTAAATGAGCGACACGTTATGAAGTGACGCTAATACATGTACAAATGTTGCATGCTCAAGCATGTGTTGAACAGTTGCAGATGTTTATATTGCCAGTTATTTGCACTTGCGCGATGATGCCAATAAGAACATGGGTATTAGCAACACCAGAATCGATAAGGTGATGTGAAGCGCTGGTGCTCATGAGTATGGCAGCCCTAGACACTGCTTCAGCACATGGCACCTATCTACAATTGACGTTAACTCGAAGTACGGCTGTACCAAAGGAGTACACATGCAATGTTTATAAAAGTGGGTAGTCAGCACAGCAACCGGAACTGACGTTTCACGAGCATTTGGGTCAACTTAGAAACTAGTTCCGAGACCTGGTGTGGCTCTAAGGCAGAATGCTTTAATGCCACGCAGAATGGTGGGGTTTGTTTCCTGCTGGGGCCCTGACATTTATTCTTCTATTTCATAAGGTCAACGCTGCCGATGTCAGGTTTTTCTTAAGGCTCACACATTAAAAGTACCCACGTGTGTTCTCGTCACTCCTGGGTAGATACAAAGTGTAAATCACCTGCTGCACATACTTGCATACCAGTGGCAGATAGGTACCTGCCGGCAGGTACGTGCCATATTTGTCAAATCATCTTACCCTTCCTTGCTAATTTTGGTCCACGCTAAGAAGGGGGGTGATCACGAGAATACCCAGCTGTAAGCGACTAGAGACAAATAGACGGACGGTATAGCCTGCACATGTGAGCCTCGGCGGCTTCGTGAGATCAAAATAATGGGCAGAAGCAATGAGACATTAGTGTGAGAGCTATTGGAGGTGTTTCATATTAAGAAGAGAGAGGCACGGGTTGTGTTTGACTTTAAATGAGCTGCAGCTTCTTGAAATGGGAGTGTGATGTACGTTTAGGATTTTGATGCATGCATGTGCAGAGAGTTGTAATTTGGTGGCCTGTTCTTTCAAATGAACAGCTTAAGTTTAACGCCCGACCTTTCAGCTCCCTCCTTCTTCGTTTCTCTGAGCTGTGTTTTCCAATTTTGCGCTATTATGTACCCCATTGAGAACTGTGAATTGCAGTTGACTTTGTAGACTTCGAGTAAGATGTTTGCATTTGAAACAGCACAAAAACAACTTTTAATGTTGATAAAAATTATGAAAATGCATTAGGTAGAGTTACATGATTTTTCACTGCCTCGCTTTCTCGTTAGTATCACCTTTATAATTTTCTCACTTGTTGATGCCTTCCTTGTCATTTCTATGACTAACACGACTCATAGTTGACTGGCTTGGTTTTCATATTGTGGAATTCTCATTGCGGGCCTTGACACTTCTTGAAATGGTGTGCTTTGAGGAAGCAAAGTTCTTGCAGTGTGAGGTGAATTACAAAGCGTACTTTACGGCTTGTGCAGTCTTCCAAAGAAATTGATATTAAATCATGCGGCCTTCTGAAGGCTACAGCGGCTTTAAATACCAGCACAAACTCGGAAGCATTTGGCTAAGAAGTCGTGCAGACTTGTTGCAATGTTGCACGAAGGCCTTGTTTTGCTCACCATGTTAATTCCAGGATCTTGGCAGGATGAGGCTTGCATTGTCCGTCTTGTGGCATCTGGCAAAAGTCTTGCTGAGGCACATTGTCATCAAGATGGACGGACTTTTCATATTGATGCTAATTCATAAGTGCACATTTTGGTCATGTCCTGTTTTTGTTGTTGTTGTTGTTATTATTATTGTTGTTGTTGTTATTCACATTTTTCTAACCAGCGCCTGTGTGACCAGGTTTCCAGGTGAACCGACAGCTGCCGATGTCGTCAATTTTCTTGACTATGACTCACTGGTGCAAGTGCTCAAGTTGTATGGAGAGGAGAAGCACGCAAAAAAGGTATTGTCAAAAATGTGTGCAGGAAACACCTTTCATGCACCGCTTTACATCAGCCACGTTGCATGAAAATACAGCAGCTAAGTGCAAAGAGAGAGCTTTTTAATTAGCAGTACATTCATTCTACGAGCTGACAAGCGGTGGATATAACGTCTCAGTCAAAAACTGCATTTTGAGGACGGCCTATAAAGAAAGAAAAGCAATATGTCAGGCACGCCCACACCAAGTTTCGCTTGCCCCACAAAATAGGAACGGTTGTTGGATTTTGGAAACTGAAATTGCCTTTGCCAATCGGGAAATTGCACCAGTTGGTCAAACAAAGAAGCTCATGACTAAATTTCAACACTTTTGAGAAATGCCATGTGTTTAAAAAGAGCTCAAAAGCTGCGCAACACCTTTCAAGGTGATGATTTAATGACTTCCCCATAGGAATTGAAAGTCTGGCTGATCAGCCACCACAAACATGAATAAATGAAAAAAATCCATAAACGGGGTTATGTAGAGCCGATGTTTCGACAACCAAACTTGTCTTCCTCAAGGCTAGCACAGAACTGATTTTTTTAGTGCTCAGTTCGGTTCTAACCTAGAAGAAGACAAGTCCGCTTTTCGAAACATCGGCTCTACACAATCTCTGTGCCTTTTCTTTGCAAGCTTCTTTTTTCCCCTCCCTGCTGTTTACGAGGTTCCATAAAACTGGTCTTTCTAGGGTGAATTGGTTCATACTTTAAAGGGAAACACAAAAACGACGCAGAAAGTGTGAGCAGGCGCAAAGCTCCCACTGACTTTTAACTTGTACACACAAATTTTTGTGTGCCTTGTTGTATGTTTACCCGTGACTATATGACCACGTTTGCTTGCACATGTTTGTTTTAAAGGCTGAAGAAAAATAAAAGTTTGATGAAAGTTTGTGCCTGTCCCTGTTCTTGCTGTGTGGAATACTCTAAGCACTTTCCTTTTGTTTCCTGAAGTGTGCTCAAAGCTGCATCGGTGAAATTGCAAAAGAGGCAAAAATATACGTCTGTGTGTCAGCACTAGGGGTGTGCAAATATTCTAAAGTTTTAAATATTCGCCAAATATTGCATTTGTAATATTCGTACTCGATTTGCTATCATATATTCAAAAATTTCAAGTGTTCAAACTAACTCAAATATTTGATGTTCACGAATATTCATTTGCATATGTCACTACGCGCAACTTAAGATTTTGCGCATTTGTAATAAAAGCCTCAGTAGTTCATGCAGTGATTACTAAGACATTGGCGTGAGTACGATGATGCCTGCATGGAAATTCACGGGTAACGTGATGACGGCTACCAACAGATGTGTCGGGACGTCATCGCGACAAACCTACCAACGGTAAACATCTCAATCAATTTAAATCATGCACTGCAGTACGTGTGGCTTAGAGGTTTGGCGCTATTACGGTTTGTGTAATCATACTGACCACGCCGTCTGCTGCCGTGCCCTTGTTAGCGGGGCTGCAAGTGCGTATCACTCGTAGAAACGAAAGCAATTCGCCACCGCCGCATCGGCTCAACAAAATTCGCAATGTTCTAAGACTGTCACGCCATCTAGCGAAATTCAGGAGCATCTTCTCAAGGATGATCAGTAGGCAGACACTCCGAATGATTCTTTGTTCGGCCGTGCTAGCCACAGTGTTAACGCGTTAGCAAGAAAGGAATACAAACCACTTTGTATGTTTCGTGAATCAGTGAATATACCGGACCGTTCGTAACACGATAAATTTGATTCGCTCTTGCAAGAGGCAAAGTTTTTGTGAAAATACTGTTACAGGGAGAAGGCACCTGAAAAATACCTTTACTTTAGGTAAACAGGCAGGCATACAATATGGAGCCCAGTCTGCGCGAGCTCGCCCTAAACATCGTCCTCCTTCCTATAATGTTCATTTGTGGCACCCCGTAGCAATACGTACGTGCACCTGTCGAAGCCTGATGAGTTTTCTGTCAGGTGTGCGCTACTTCAGCATGTATACTAGTTCTGGAATGATTTGATGACAGCGAATATGACCATGCAAACGAGCTGAAGTGTTTTCCTGCTCAATGGCAAACATAGAAGAGGCCATGCTCTTTCAGTAATGTTACAATGGCGTCATCACAGATAGTTCTTTGTTGGTAACAGTGGGGCACATAAGGTGACAGCTGGATTAATGCATAGTTCCGCTCCATTCCCGACAGCGCCTTCGAAAATCGATCGTATGTGCATTGCACTCGCGCGGCAACATGTCCTGCAATCCTGCAATCAATCCTTCGTTACACCAGTGGTGCGTGCTCGCTACCGTCAGTTTACTGCCTTCAGCAGCCAGTGCACCAAAGAGGGTCTCTTGGGGGCAAAGTAGTGCCCTGGTTGTCGGGAGTTGTGGCTCCATTAACAAAAAAACACATTAGGGGCGTCTTTTTATCACACATCAGTAATAATCTATCTCACACAGTTACTTCGCGTTATCGCTGCATGCCCGCTACACCATGGTCATGATCGTGCTGCTATCAGTGCAGCACAGCATCCTTGATCGAAAAATGGCAAGCGTGCAGTCCTTAAGAAAGGCAACAGAAGCAAGCGAGATATTGAGTATTGCTGTGTAGCTGAAAAACGCCCCAAGTACCCCTATTTCCGTTAGTGGCTTTACTGGTGGGAACAGGGGAGAAAATTTAAAGGAATACTATAAAGTCAAGGTCTTTCAAGACAAAACTGATAGTGTGGGAACCTGGATGAAATGTGACCACCTAGGCTGCTTTCATAATTGCTTAGACTTAAGTACACAGCTGTTAATCATGACAGGTACAAAAGCTTTCTGTTTTTGTAATATAAAAATACAAGCAGATTTGTTCAACATGTGGATTGAACCCAAGACATCACAGTCACAAGCTCAACTATTACAGTCTTATATTTTCTGCAAGTATACATAGTGTGCACGTGCATCACGCAGGGCCGATTCGTCACTTCCGAAATGCGCCACCGACATGCCTGGGTACCTACTGTCTCCGTGGCCGACTGCTGCCGTGTTGTTTCCTCGTGCATGCGCCCGTTCAGTTTTGCCTAACGATGGAAGTTGGAGAAATTATCAGCTGCTGGTAAGGCAAGTTGATATAATAGTCCACGAAGAGCGAGCAGAGCGTTAGGGTGTTCTCTTTGCCGAAAGTTATTACCTGTAATAACGTGAGCAGCAGACAGCATACCAAGAAGCAACTGATAAGTTTATTAGAAGACGCACCATATATAGGCGCAGAACCACGTGATCGGTCGCACAGGAATGCGCGCACTGGGTGCGCAGTGATAAGTGACGTCACGCTACAACACTCCTTCCCCTTCAGATTACTTCCGAAAGTCACTGGACTGGTATCTGTTCGGGGCATGTCGTACACGTGCACTACGACGCAGAGTTGGAAGTTCGGCTGCAGGTGGCGCGTCGTCGGCACTGGGCTGGTCCGGCGAGCCGGAGGCAGCTGCTCCGGCCGTGGGCGATGCAGTTGCCGGAAGGAGAGACGTCGCAGAGTCGGTTGCGTGTGGATTTACGAGAGGCGACCCGGCGACTGGCCCACACGCCATCGGAACCGTCGGTGGAGTCGTGTCTACGGATGCCGTTGGAGCAGGTTGTGCCTGCGGATAACTTGAAGAATCCTGGCTTCCGTGGCGGGCTCTGATGTGGTCCGAATGCGTAAATCGCACCGCCTGCGACACTTTCACCAGATAGGTTACGGGACTGATAACCTGTGTCACGACACCATCTTCCCACGACACTGTTTCACCTCGCACAGTCTTCACCCACACAGCGTCCCCCACAGCAAAACATCGCGGAACCCCCTTAGACATGTCCTTTTGCACTTTGGTACGTTGCTGCTGCTCCCGCATGGAGAGCTCGAAATCTGGTTTTAGCAATGACAGCTTTACCCGTGGCTGTCTTTTCAAGAATAATTCTGCCGGGGTCTGGCGAGTGGTACTGTGCGGAGTAGTCCTGTAACTCATTAGATAGCTGTCCAAGCGTTCCCGAAATGAATGTTTGTGGTGGCTAGCTTTGTCCTGCAAGACATGCTTTGACAGTGCTTGTTTGGTAGTCTGCACTAAACGCTCGGCCGCTCCGTTAGAAGCCGCGTGATAAGGAGGTGTCTTGACATGCCTTACACCGTTTACACTCAAGAAGGCCGCGAACTCTTCGGAAATGAACTGCGGTCCATTATCACTCACCAGTACCTCTGGCAGACCATACGCGGCAAACATACTACGTAGCTTCTCAATGGTTTTGTTAGCAGTAGTGGATGACATAGGCGAGACCTCGATCCATTTAGAGAACGCGTCGACGAGAACCAAGAACGCCTGAGAGCTCTTTACCGCATAATCGACGTGCACGCGTTGCCAGGGCCTTGTGGGATAATTCCATGGTTGCAAAGGAACCGGTGAAGCAGCTTTTTGGACGGCCTGACAAACCTGACATTGTCGAACGTAGCTCTCAACCGAAAGGTCGAGGCCAGGCCACCACACAAAGCTTCTTGCTAACGCTTTCATGCGACTAGATCCCGGGTGGTCCTCATGCAATAGCTGCAAGACCTGTAGCTGGAGCTTATCAGGTATGATCACCCTTGATCCCCACGTTATGCATTCTTGCTCTACTGATAGCTCGTCGCGCCGGGAATAAAATGGTCTAAATGCTTCAGAGCACTCTGAAGGCCATCCATTTAAGATGAAGTGCGTCACGCGAGACAAGGTGGGATCACGTCGTGTGGCTCGCGCTACGTCATCCGCTTTGAGGGGCATGCTGTCAAATAGCAAGAGACACTCGGAAGGTTCATCGGCCGCTACAATAGGCCGTGGAAGCCGAGACAGAGCGTCAGCCACTTCAACATTTCTTCCCTTTCGGTATTTTAGTTTATACTGGTACGCTGCCAGGGTAATTGCCCATCTTTGCATTCGAGCTGCAGCAAGCGCAGGCACCGGCTTGTCGTGGCCTAATATTCCGAGCAATGGCTGATGATCTGTATAAAGAGTGAACTCTCGTCCATACAAGTAGCGGTGGAATTTTCTTAACCCAAACATCAGTGCTAATGCTTCGCGTTCGGACTGAGCATAGTTTTTCTCTGCGGCTGTAAGTGTTCTAGAAGCAAATGCCACTGGCCTTTCGTGTCCCTCTGCGGTCTCATGAAAAATGACAGCCCCCAATCCATACGACGAAGCGTCACATGTCATAGCCATTGGTTTCGCCACATCGTAAAAAGTGAGCACATTACTCTTGACAAGTAACAGTTTCGTAGAAGCAAATGCTTCGCTACACTCCCGTGTCCACGACCACCTTTCGCCCTTGCGCAACAGACGGTACAATGGCTCTGCCACGCAGGCAAGGTTACTTAAGAACTTTGCATAAAAGGTTAACATGCCGAGATAAGCCTTTAGCTCTGTTTGGCAAGTGGGCTCTGGCGCTTCTGTGATCGCCTTTATCTGGGTAGTGGTCGGTCTAATGGGTAGTGGTCGGTCTTTAAAACAGGATTAATGGTGACTTTGTAGTCCCCGCACAGCCTCAGTGAACCATCTTTCTTTTGGATTACGATTACTGGCGTGGCCCAATCGCTCCGATTTACGGGGCGTATAACACCGCTTTTCTCTAGCCTTTCTAGCTCGCCTTCCACTTTATCTCGAAGCGCAAATGGGACGTTTCTGGCCTTGCCAAAAATAGCCGTACAATTCTGGCTTAAAACTATCCTTGCTTGATAGTTTTTTACTTTTCCAGGTTGCTTAGAAAACACCCCTGGGAACTTCTTTTTAACCGCCTCTACCTTGTGAGAGTCGCTTACATTTATAGCAAACACGCTTTTCCAGTCAAGCCCGAGCCTTTCAAGCCAACTTCGCCCCATCAGCAATGGTAGCTGCTTGCCGTTATCCTTGACGATAATAGCGGGTAGCCGCAAAGACTGTTTTCCCACCGTAACGGAAACGTTGCATTGCCCTTTTACTGGAACAGGTTCCCCAGTGTATGTTTTTAGGGTGACTCGAGATGGCTCGCACTTGACATGAGGAAATGCGTTCAGCCTCACACTCTCAGGAATTAGTGTTACAGCTGCTCCCGTATCAATCTGCATGAAGAGGTCTTGCCCTTCTACGTTTAGCTGCACTTCATACCCAGAACGCACGGTATTGATAACATGGTACACATCTAATTCAGAGTCACTATCAGAGCAGTCCACCACGTTTGCAGTCTTGAGTTCTCTGCGATTACTTGGACACATCTTCTGTAGATGACCGATTTGAGAACAGCTGTGACACTGGACGTTCTTATACCAGCAAACACTAGCCGCATGCGCCTTGCCACATCTTTCGCAAACTCGCTTGGCTTCCTTGAGCTTCCGAAGCTTCGATTTCTTTTCGCTTCCTTTTCCTCTTATCGCCATTGCATAAAAAGCCGCTTCCTTGCCTTCTGCATGAAGTAACGCTGTCTGTCGCGCAGCCTGCTCTCGGTCCTGGGCTATCTTGCACGCCTTTTCGAAGGTTAAATCTTCTTCAGCAAATAGGGCGAGTTGCGTTTCCTCGCGTCTTATGCCTGCCACTATTCTGTCTCGCAGCGCGTCTTGCAGAAACTGACCGAAATCGCACTTCCTTGCTAACTGTTTTAAGGCCACTATGAAGTCCTCGACGCTTTCCTGCTCTTCTTGTGCTCGCTCGTTAAATTTGCAACGTTCGGCAATGACCGAGCACTGTGGGCTATAGTGTTTCTTCAACAGCACTGTGACCTCTTCAAAGGACTTGTCCCCAGGAACAGCGGGTACTACCAAACTTTTGAGCACCTCGTACGTTCGTGGTCCTATCACACTCAAGAATACTGCCAGCTTCTTTTCCTCTCTGATGTCATTTGCGGTGACGAAGTGCCCAAAACGCTCCAGATAGGATTCAAAATTCTGATCCTTCTCGTCGAACTCGTCTAGCTTGCCTAGTCGCGCCATTGTTCAGTAAAAGTGCAGTATACTTATCGGGTTGCTTTCCCCGACGACTGCGTTGCCTCTTGCCGAAGGTAGTGCCGCCGAGTTCAACCGTCCCAGGCCATGGCTGCCGTTGTTTTCTGGTCCATGGCTGTCGACCGCCGATCGCCCGCAATACTGCTTCGTACTGAGCTAGTACAAGGGGGCGGATCCCATCCTCGTCGCCAGTGTAATAACGTGAGCAGCAGACAGCATACCAAGAAGCAACTGATAAGTTTATTAGAAGACGCACCATATATAGGCGCAGAACCACGTGATCGGTCGCACAGGAATGCGCGCACTGGGTGCGCAGTGATAAGTGACGTCACGCTACAACATTACCTAAAATTGAGAACGCGCAATGCGATCTTACAGAAGGCACCGGCATGTTTGGCTGGCACAGATTAACAAAAACGACTTGAAGAACCGGGGATTATTTGCGTCTTCAGGTGTAACTTCATTACGGGTAAATAATGAAGTTACACCCGAAGCACGTACCTGCAAACAGATAGGTACTGTATATACAAACTGGTTCGCGACCGCTGCGTGCACAATCAGCGTGTCAGGGAGGCGGTTAAAATTGTGAAGGCAATCACGGGAATTCGGGTATTGCATTCAAACAAAGTGTGAAAATAGATGTGAAACAATATTCGTTCACTCGTAATTTGAAGTATAGCCGATCGGTTCAAGTTGGGGCGTCAGGTTTTTTAAAAATTGGTTGATTGATTCCCTAAAACGGTCTGCATCATTTTCTGTGACAATACTGTACATTAGCACACAACAACAAAAGTAATATACAAGGTAAAAATTGAGTCAAAACATACACGAAAAAAATAGTGACCGGCATCAGCGCGGCGCGAACCACGCGAAGTCTCTACCTTGCATAATATATTCCTTAGCTGTTCCCACGAATTCCAATCAAAGATGCTCAACATCATCACTGTTTAAAACGCTCGGGGAGCCGCATTGCTACTTTGATGGTGTGGGCCACAGCAACATATTAAAATTGGTATTAATAATATATCTCCTGTAAACTTGCCTAGCTCTGCACGATGACTCGTTTTCGATGGGAGCTGTGCGCTTCCCTCATCCACTTTTAAAATTGCAGCTCGAGAGACTGAGCTTTCACTTGTTCTTAGACCACGCAATTTGTAGTGAAAGCAATATAATGGGCCCTCATAGATCGTGGCAGGCAGCCGGTGTGCGCGGTGGCCGCGGTGGATTGTATACGTGTCACACGTTTTGATTTTGCGGTCTTGTATCGAGTGAACAAACGAGGCTTTCGTGACCCGATGAGCTCGTTAAAGCATGCGAACAAAAAACCCCACGGCTTCTCTTCAAACATCACGCACAGCAACAGATGACGAGTCCTCAACAAACCGCGCTGCAGCACGCAAACTGCTGTAGGTACCCAGCGAGGTACCCGGGCATGGCTGGAGATGGCGACAACGGCGGACGTGACATGACATGAAAACTATGTATAGATGGTGACATTTTTTTTTTATTTTTATGTGCAATAACTGGCTATAATTTTTGTTGCATCAATTAACTTTTTCTATATTCACTACTGTAGGAGGTCCTGATTCAGTCTCTGACTATGGGACCTTTTTCTGTATACACAAATTTTTGCAATTGATTCGATGACAAAATAAAACCATTTGTGATATCTGATAATAACAATTCTATGGTTTCCAACATAAATATATATGATTGAGTAAAAGATTTACTAGTGGAAAGAAATTGCACCTCTTCAGTATTTGATATTTTATTCATATTCGAAGCTATGTATTTATATTCAATTTGTATTCGATAATTTTAATATTCGCACACACCTAGCCAGTACACATCGTGACCTTGAGCACATGTTTTATTTGAACATGTGGCCCATTTTCAGTGTGATCACGAGCCGTTCGTGTAACTCAATTGTGAAAATCTAGTGTACTATAGAGCGCAGTGCAAGTGTGTCGCAGCATCTTGCGGCGGCCACAGTAATTAGTTTGCTGCTCTCGGTGCTTAAATCTGCTGATTGCTGTGATCTTTTCACAGTAACCCTTTTTTGGGCTGTGCGAAATAAGTGAAACCCTCTTCCTCCCCCCACCCCCCAGACAATATGCACTGCACAGGCTATGGCGTCAATCTTTTGCACTCCCAGGCGCAACACAGCATGGCGGCACTTTTTTTCTCCTCTGTAAAGGTGTGCTGTTGGTAGATGGTATTTTTTGTTAAGAGAAGAAGTAGTGATTTTCAGATTACCTTGAAAATTACTTGTGAATTCTTTGCCATGTGCAACGCTAATACTATGCTTGGCTCACATGTTTGCCTCAGCTACTAATGGGCAACGCTTTCTTGTTATGTTCAGGAAGTGTTGCAGGGCATATTATTTATGCGCACGCTTATTATTTATCCCCTTGGCTAGGTTGCACAGGCCATAGTGGACTCTCGCTTCTTGATGAAGAACCTGCGCACCACCACCGAGCTGGCACACATAGTCGAAGTGGCGTTGACTGACACGTGAGCATTGCACACTTTCCCTCAATATAGATCTGTACGCAAGGCCCTCTGCGGTGGGTAGCATCGCTGCCCGCGAAATTGCGGAACCTTGCTGTGACTAACACTGTTGAAGCAGTCAGCTTTAATAAAGGGGCCATGACACGGTCACCAAATGATTTGTGGCTTAAACTACAAGTAAAAGGTCTGTTGTGCCTATATAGATTTTTAAAATGGGTCATAAAAGAACACATACTTGAGTGCAAAACATGCCCTAGAAGTCACCGACTGCAAGCTCATCATTTCGCCAGGGCACGTGTGATGTCATATGCAGCAAGCCGCCATCTTCTACCTCAGTTTCAGCCACTGCGAATCATTCAATCCTATTGTCACACTGAAGAAAGCTACAACATCCTAAATATTTTTAATGCAACTAATGATAAAACAGTTTTGTTTGCCGGAATGCTAGCATGCAGCTAGCTGCATGTCACGTCACAGCTTGTGAGAGCGCCAGTGATGTCTGACTTTCAGGCCGCTTGTGTGTTTATAAAAATATTCTATTATAAATTAAGTTCTCGATTCAGTGCGCGGAAATCTCGCCACCTTATTTGTGAATGCACAAGGATTAATCAACACAAAATAGTTGTTACTGAGGAGCACAAAGCAGACAAAACATGCGTTAAGGACTTAACAGGAGGAGCGCGGACTTAAAAATAAACTTTGTTCACAGACGATGGCCAGCTCTAATCTTACATCAAACGTAACAGAAACGGTATGAAGCATGTGTGAAATCGCAATCTAACTACAGAACAGCTATCACCTCTCAAGTTAAAAGTTGTAAAGAAAACAAAAATGAATCAACGAACTCCTGCGTAAGATAACCTATCGAAAGCTTCTATATCCACAAAAATGCTTCGACGTGCATGAGCCAGTCGTAACCAGTCAAGTGGCTTATCTAGATAAGTGTTTGGCGCCGGGCCAATGGTGGCCATACAGAAGCTTGGCATGACCAGGGTCATTTTTTTTTCCAAAGTTGTTTCTTCTCTGTTTCGAGAAGCGCACGAGGTAGTTGATTGATGTCATTGTTTTTTGTTATCATTTTTACTGTGAGGTGATGGCTGTTCTTGAGTTGATAAATTAGGGTTTCATGGGTGAATTTTTATGTTTTTGTTATGTTTTGACGTAACCTGGTCATCTTGTGTGAATAAACTTTAGTTTGAAGGAAGCGCCTGTCGTGTTTAGCCCTTCGCAGGTGTGTAGTCTGTTTTGTGTTCTCAAGTACTAATCTGGATTTTGTGCTGCTCGACATAACATGAATTATGATCGAAAATTCGGTGTCATGATCTTATGAACCGCTTCCATGTAGCAGTTGGACTCGCTGCACGATTTAATCGGTATACTAATCTCAGTCCTGTCCAGCCAATCGGTTTTTTAGTTTTTTTTTTTTTTTTGCTATGAACAACGATTTTATGGTGGAAATCACATTTTTGCCAGCAACCTTTGCCGGTGGAAATACTCCGTCATATTCACATCATGGTTTTGGAACGTTAAGGCCCAACAGTTTTCGTGCTTGCAATGCAGCAACAGATTATTTCATTTCTGATTTTAAGTCCCGTTTCGTGTGCAACAGTTTTATCCTGTAACCATAATGCATGCGACTTTGTTCTCTGGCACGGGTAGTGGAGTGCAGTGCAAAGCCCTCAAGTGTTGTCTTTGCAGTCGGAAGTGGCCAGTGTGCTCTAGATTTGCTGTGATATTGCATCTGTACAGGTTGTGTTTGGCAGCAAAGCATCATTCATGCACTAGTTCACACATGCCATGCCAGTGCAAGAGACTGCATAGAGTTCACGTTTTTAAAATTAAATTTATTTGCCTAGGCACCTCTCACCAAGACTCTGTGAACGTGAATGCAAAATGACTGCAAAGCGACATGGGCATGCCCTCATGTTATTCAAAGTGAGATCCATTTACTGCTGCTCTGGCTATTGTTCTGCGCAGACACGCCTGGCATTGCAGCAAAAGATTAGCGTTTGTCGCTCGACACAGTTTTTTATTTCTATAAACAAATTATGTCCAATTTTGACAGACAAACCTTCTGCTTATGCTGAGGCATAACTGTGGGCTATTTATTCACATCCACACAGAGTTTCGTTGGCTTTGTCAGCTTTGCGTACCCACTACTGTTGCGCATGGTTGCGTGTGTGGAGTTCCTATATGTGCAACATGAACTGTGTGTAGTGACTGTTGCCTGATTTGTGTGCCTACGAAGATTTCGCCTCCAACGAAGCAGCGGAAGCTCATCATGCTAGAAAATAAGGCTGCAATTATCACCGCGGTGGAAGGGGGAAGTGAAAGAATGGGCAACAATGGCGAATTAAGCGTTACGTGCAACTCCCTGTCCATGATTGTCAAGAACAAGGCCTTCATTCTCGGTGCACTCGAAAATGGTGCGAGAGCAAAAAACAAGACCATGACGGCTGCAGCGTCCCAGACATGGACCAACCGTTTTGCATGGTTTTGTGAACGGCAGTAAGACTTGGCAAGGGAAGCGTATTTGCTTTTGGCAATGTAAAATGTGTTTCACAGTAGAACCTCATTGATACATTCCCGCTTAATACGATTTCTCGGCTCCTACACTCGAAATCCCGAAAACTATAAATGACCCCATAACGCTATGTGTTAATACGTTCCCGGAAAATACGATTATTCATCAGCAACGTTCATTGTTGTGGCAAACTGCGGCCTTATGATACGATCCACTGGCAATAATTCTCGTTCAGGTGTGGAAAAAAAATGCTCTTGAGTGCTTGTGAAGTGCTAATTGGCAGAGTGGGGCTGCATGGGGACGGCGGTTTCTTTGCGGCACTCAAGTCACCCCTTCATCCCCTGCCTCTTCTCCGAATTATACACAATTGTCCCCTTCGCGCTTTCTTCAAATGCCCGGTCGCCCCCTCCGTCGCTCCAGCAGCTGTCTGTGAATCACACACAGACCAGTCTGAGCTGTCAAAATCTTCAAATGGTCTTTAAAAAAAAGCCTTTTACTTCCTGTAGCACAGTGGTTTTCTTTTTCAGCTGGCATCTTGGCACAATTTCGCTGAACACTGCAAAGCCTTCTTCTGTAGCACGGTACATGAAAATGCGATTGTCTCACACCATAACAGCCGAGAGAACGCTACCATTGCTTCGGCACGAGACGCACATGCTACCTACGCTACACAACAGGCCATTGCATCTGCCTCCTTTCCTGACCCCGTCTCACACGCTGCTGCTGCCTGCCAGCATGTTCCGATTTACAAGGACACACGCCTTTAAGTATGTGAGCCATGCACCTTTCCTCGACAAATATGCGAACGCAGCGTGCTGATCAGCCCTCGCTAATGCCGATGTCATTAGGGCGAAATGCATGTCCTGCTGTGTTACCAGGGTGTCTGCAACTCTGCAAGATAACCTCCACTAAAGTCCCTTGGACTTTAACCTCCAGTAGAAACGAGCGCCACCCAATGAGAGCCGTTTTTGGAACCTCAGTCTTGATTGTCGCTACTTCAAGTAGAAAAAGATTGAGGGATATGCGATTTGGGCTCTGTGCGAGGCTGCACATTGCTCAGTAGTTTGAAATTTGGGGCAGTTGTATTCTGCATGTCGGCGTGAAATGCAAGCCCTTTTCATTTAAGGTGAAGCTGAATATCCTTCGGTGGCACCTTCGATCGGTGGATACAGAGCGCAGCAAAGACGAACCTGGGCATGCGCATCTGACGACGACACTGATGAAGAGTTGCTCTCCACGGGCGCCGATGCACCCTTTGCCGGTTTGCCTCGATAGACGAAAACGCTTCGACTTGCGAGCCGCAAAGTGTCGCGAGATCGTCGCGAAGGTGGTGTAGGGGGACGCAGCAAAAGAGATGAAAGATGTGGCACCGGAAGACAATGGCGAGAATGAAAGCGGGGGCAAACCGGCTTACTACGCCGAAGCTCTTGCTGAACTGGAAGCTTTATAATGCTTTTTTTGCTCAAAAACAATGAAAACGCTGACAATTGACAAGGTGCACATAAGGAGCTTTTCTTGTCCAAGGGTGAGAGGCTGCAGGAGAAAATTACTGTTTTTTAAGTAATAATCTTTTTTTGCCCTTACACTTTTATATGGACTTGTCAGCCTCAATTTTGGTGGCTTTGAATCATACGTTTTCTCAGATCATATGTTTATTCTAAATGTTTTTTTTGAAAACATATCAATGAGGCTCTACTATATTCAAATCTCTGTCTTTTATGCCATATTTTTGTGCCAGTTAAATTCTTGCAACAGCAAAAGAAATCGGCTTGCCCAGCCGATTTCATTATTGCGGGTTTCAACTGTACTTGTTTGCTGTGAAGGGATAGTTGATTGCTTCATGCAAAGCTCACGCACATCTTTATCAAGAGCATCCAGGTGCGCCACATAGCTGAGCGGGGAAGTCTTTTGTAAAAGCTAAGTCATGCGTTGAGCCTCCTACTATGACTGGGTAAGCTGCTCAATTGCACATACCAATCTCTGCTCTGGGGAATCGTAGTAAGTGGTTTGTTTTACCAGCAGAAAGCATACAAAAGTGGACGGGGCCATCATTGTTAATTGGTAGTAAAATAGAGACGTGGGCACGTTAGAACTGGTGCATTTTTGAAAACTTTTCAGCACGAACAAGACGGAGCATGAAGAAGACAGCGTCATTTGTGTCCCCTTCTTTGTGCACTGTCTCCTTTGTGCACGAAAGTTTTTAACTATGTTTATTAGTACTATATGTGATACAGTATATTACCGGTATTTACATGATTGTAAGTCTATTGGAATGTAGGTCAACTCCCCCCGAAAACACATGTCCCTTCAAATAAAATAAAACTGAAAATATGAGCACAGTTCAAACACAGAAAATTTATTCACGAAGATTACTCATTGTCGCTGGAGTCGTCCTCAGTGGTGCTGCAGCCGTCGTAGCTGTTGCGGTAAAACAGCACGTCGTCATCAAGTGCGTCTCCACACTTTGCAAACGACGCACCCCGACATCGCGCGGTCTAGCTGCCCTTGCGTAGAGCACTCACTTGCCCACAGTTGCCAGGGAGACCTTCTTCACGCTGCAGTGAATGAGCGCCGGCAGTTTTTTAAGCCCAGGGCACTCATGACAGGCGTGACGATTCAGCAAAACACAGCAGCACAAGTGACAGGAACACGCGAGGACCCGGCTGCTTAAAAAATCTTTTCACGAAGAGAATCTGTTCCCTGGCACGTCCGTCGACTACCACTACCTCCCATTCAGCGTGCCGCAATCATATCGCATTGCGGCGTTGCTCAGTGCACTTCTGGATGCAAGTACGGTGGCCAACTTCTTTCAACATCAGCATCACTTTTATTGACATTGAAACGTATGTAATGCGGTAAATACACTACGCTTTTAAGGTAACCATGGAAATGTAGGTGCAGAGTTGTAACCGCGACGTAGTGCCCCTGATTTCTCATTTCTTTTGCCATTATTAGCGGTACACAGGTCGGTTTCAATTCTAAGGCGACCTTTCCAATATTGGATTGTCAAATTTGAAAAAACTGGTCGACCTACAATCGTGTAAATATGGTATTATAAACAGTATCGTTATAACTAGACCTGACTTTAGTGTGAAATAGGCAGCAAAACAGTGCTGCGGTAGCTTTTGAGTCTTGGTATGTCACGCTGAGGGACAGGAAGAGGGCAGAGTATATCAGGGAACAAATTGGTCTCAAGGACATCATAATCGAAATCTAGAAGAAATGCTCATGGGCGGGGCACAAAGTGCCAAGGCAAGATAACCGCTGGTCATTAAGGATCACAGACTGGATTCCAAGAGAAGGCAAGCAGGGTAGAGGGAGACAGAAAGTTGGGTAAGCAGATAAGATCAGTAAATTTGCGGGTATAAAGTGGCAGCAGCAAGTGCAGGAAGGAGCTGACTGGTGGGACATGGGAGAGGCCTGTAGTGGGCGTAGTCAGGCTGATAATGATGATGTTACGCTAGCAGATTTTTAAAAGACGAAAAATCTCTCTCGATTGTGCAAACTTCTCAATTTAACGAAATGATTTTGCAGTGGCCATTATTTATAGAGTTCGAACTGCATGAAGAAGTCTGCTGTACTTAGCAGAGTTTGTGGCCTGATTGATTGCATGGCCGTGGTCGGTGGCAAAAAGCCCCTTCTGGCTGAGCATGTGTGAATTCTTCTGTATCTCTTTTTCTTTTCAAGATTACCTTTGTAAACATTTTTTTGTAGTACTGAAATATGCTCACAATTTTCGAGATCTTCAACATTTGCCTTTGTGTGTATTTTAGAGGGGCCGTGGCAGCTGCCAGCCTGTTTTCTTCCCATTTCCTCTGTGTGTTCGTAATGTTTGTGTATTTAAAGGAACCTTGAAACACTTTTTCAAGGGACCATAGAATAGATTCACTAAAAAGATTTATTCCTTCATGTATTGACAGCCACAAAACATTTAAGAATTCATCCAGTATGAGCGAAGTTACAAAGATTTGTCACACGCCGCAACCGCGTTTTTTTTTCTCTCGTCTCAACGAAAGCGCAGGGAGCTAAGTAGGGAGGGATGGCATGGGCATATTACGGCGAAAATTGTGGAGCTCACTCAAACTCACTCATGACGTATATTTTGAGCCTTGGACTCACTCGGACTTAAACTCGCAAAACGTTTTCTGAGTCTTATTCACTCAGAATCAGACTACAAAAATTTTCTTCAACAGTACTCACGCGGATTCGCAGTTCGGCCTGAGTGAGTCGACTCATGAGTGCAGTAGCCTAGAAGTAGCTTCTTCGACTGTGGTTTCACCAATATCTCATGTAATCGGTGCTCTTCTTGGCGCCGTTTGACATAGTATTTTCAGTAACGAGTTTCGAGTGCTGCCAAACCGGTAAGGTTCTTTTTTTTTTTTGAAAGAGATGACAGGATAAGATATAATCAAGAAATTTCCTGGAAGAGTTGGTGGCGGGAAGTCAAGGCACCCCCACGTACGTAATTCATGCCTGTAATTAATAAATATTGAAACGGTGTATGAACGACCTTGCCTTAGAATACGCGTGAGTAGAGCTGAGTATAAGTGTGAATCCAGATAAGGCTGATAATAATGCTAAAGGTGACTAGGTAGGACGGCAAGTCGGCAAAAGAAAGTGGACATCACTCGGACTCGGAAGACTTGATAAGAAGTGCAGTGCCAACACATGTCAAACGTCATCAACTCCACTGTCTTGTGTTACATGATAGGCAAACCGCCTAATATATTTCATTCTGCAGAATGAAATATATTCCTTGGTTCTTCCTTGGTTCCCAGCCTGGCTCAGTCACTCTGACTTAGTTACAACAAGACTCGCCAAACTTTTCTTCGCCGAACATACTCGGATTCACAATCACGAAACTATTACTTAGACTCGCAGCTCAATCTGAGTCGACTCATGAGTGGGTTCGCCGACCTATGAGCATAAGCAAAGAAAATACGTTACACGCACCTTGTGACCTTGAACACTTTTTTTTTCTTTTTTTTTTTTTTCAGGGGCAAAGCTCCTAAAGTCATGGGTGTGTACATGCTTGTCTCTTGGTACGTAACTGCCTATACTTGGCGACAACTTTCTGGGGCAGCACACCCAAGGCTACGAAGCCAAAGCATGCCCTTTTTTACTACGCTTCTGCATGTAGTCCACGAACGCTAACTTTTGTATACTGCGTAGCCTAATGGAAAATATAAAAACAAAAGGTGTAAATATTATGATCAAGATTGTTTACATTATTATTAGGAAGCATCACCTGTGTAGGTTTTTTGTTCTTTGCTTTCTGGTTTCCATGTGCCATTTCACTTTTTCCCTGCCCCAGTAAACAACAATGGCGTCACTCGGTTTCAGCAAGTTCACATCAAAGCGTCACACTGGCAACCTGCCAGTCTTCAGCAACACCCTCTGCTTGGAAGAAAAATTGCGATTGGAAACTGTACGTAAAATAAATGACCATTTTTTAAATTGTGTTGCACATGCGATCGGTGTTTCGGCCGCAGAATATTGCTGATACGATAAAGCTGAAGACCGCGTACCATAACAGAACTCCCGTTGACGTCTCCGGAGGGAGTTGTTCTTTACGATTTGCCTTGGTAACAGACGCGCTCATGTGCATTACCCTGTTGATCGTGCAAAAACAGCGTTCTTGGCAGAATAAAGATTGTGTTTTACTCAATTACATTTATGAAGGCCAGGTGCCCGGTCATGACTGATACGACGTCAAGATTTCTGCTTTCCATCGTTGCCTTTGCTTCCCCTAAAAACAAACGTGAGTGTCTGGAGAAAGTTCTTGTCTCTAAAGAAAGGAAAACAATGATGCCGACCAAGTATGCATTGAAATTTAAGAGGTGGTTTCTTTGCTTTGCGATGCTCGGCCGTACGTTTTTTTTTTCTGCGATAAATCTCAACGCTTCAAAAAAGCTGCGTGTTCTTTCCCTTAAAAAATGAACATTTGATTTATTTCCTCCCCAAAGAATGTAAGATATATTGCATGGTAATGCTAAAAAGTACATGTTGGATGCGCTTGCGAAACCAAAATCGCACAAAAATGAATTATTGGCGTAGTAACACATGTTTAGAAGCTCCACCCATGCAGCTTTGGCTGTGCTGTCACTGAAAGTTGTCACCGAGTATAGTTCTAAGAGCAACTGAGCAGGTGCGGATGTACGAAAAGACAGACAGACGGCCAAACGAACAGACAGACAGGCAGACAGATGGCTAAATGGCTGGACGGACGGACAGACAGAGAGACAGATTGACAGACAGAGGATTCACTGTTTATCAATAAAACCAGTGAAGCTTCGCCATAGTCAATATTATCACTCCATGGATATGCTGTGATTTTTTTTTCTTCGAACACACGGCTTTTTCAGTGTGATCACACGCGTACACATGGACAAGTTGCGGCCTTCCGGTGCAATCCCTTTAATGACTGAGCGTGCCATGTTCAAATTGGCCAATAGAAGGCCTTCAAGTGATTTTTGAGCTGCTTTCATTATTTTTTGAAAGAAGAGAAAGCAATTTTCAGCTGATTCTGATAATTAATTGCGAGTTCCAGGCCACCTGCAACACTATAGTTGGCTCACATGTTCTTGGGAGCCTCTACTACCAATAAGCACTGTTTTCTGACCATGCTCGAAAAGTTTTGCAGGGCACCTCTAAATCAAATTATAATAATAATAATTTAGACACTCTAATTTGATGATAATCTCTGTCATGCATGTTTATCCTTCTGTGTTCGCAAACATGCAGGTGAAATTTTAGTGCATTTGGTTGGGCACTTCATCAATAACTTAACATTTTTGTGATGATACAAGAGGCCTGAGTGCCTAGCAATGCTAGGGAAGTTAGGAGCGAAGCGGCTTATTGAGCAAACATCTGCATTCTGGCAAACGATTGTGTGCCAAGGTCAGCTGAGCGTGCATTATTTTCAGCAACTGCAACTTTCACAGAAGAGGGCGGCCATGTTTCTTCAGGGGCATCTGTGCAAGTAGGCGTTTGGTGCATAGAGACACCACGGACCTGATCTAACGGGGGGGGGAGGCTCAACTTCTTTCCACGCCTAGCCGTGCGAGGCTTTGCAGTGTCCGGGGAAAACGGGATTCTGGAGCTTGAGCCGATCCTGTGTGACTGGGCAGAGGCAACACACCCCTTTGGCCCCGGCTTCACGTAGACGAAACCCCTGGGCTGACTCACCCTGGAGAAATCGGCAGTCGCCTTTACCTTTCTCTATCTCCGACACTTCGTCTTTCTCTTTCACTTTTTATCTTTCCTGTCTACTTCTCTCTTCTGTTTACTGCATATCTTTCCTGACGGCAAGAATTAACCTTGTGTGGATGCCCAGTCTTGGCCATTCCATATTAGGTTATAGCAGCGCTGTACAGCTGGCCTTGACAGGATTTGCCCAGCATCTCCTGCCACTTCCTCTAGTTGGGTTGGGCTCGGCGGTGCGCGACTGGCACTGCTGCCGAACTTAAATGACCTGTTATGTTAAACGCATCCTCTTCCAAAGCTGGTCGTAACCTGAAAAGGTTGCGCATCGAAGCAATCACGACATTCTTTTAAAAGGCCAACGAACGGTTTCCAAAGTATCATGTAATACATCTATAGTTAACAGTCTGTTGGAAAAGCCAGAGCTGTCTCTTCATTTTTAGTGGCAAGAAACTTAACAGAGAAACTAGGACGTGGCATCAAGGCCTGTAAGATGGCTAGCGGCGATCTCCTGCTTGAATTGCGATACAGAAAGCAATATGAAGCCCTCCCGAATCTGACATCTATTGCAAATATCTATTTCACAGTCAGCCCACATAGGTCTACGAATACCGTTTGAGGTGTTGTCTCTCATGACGACTTCCTGGGCCTAACTGAAGCTGAGCTCCTTGACAGATGGAAAGAGCTAAATGTTGAAAACGTTCAAAGAATAAAGATCAGACAGGACAACACAGAAAAAGCCAACAGAACAAATTATACCTAAATTTAAATTTAGTGAACTGCCAGGACACATTGAAACAGGCTAAACTAAGCTCCGAGTGCGGCCATACATACCGAACCCGCAAAGGTGCTTCAAGTGTCAACGGTACGGTCATGGCTTCCTTGCTTGCTGAAGGCAATCCACATGTGCAAAATGTGCGTCAAAAGACCACATCTCCGAAAAATCCAACTCTCCATCTCACTGTGGGAACTTTGGTGGTGACCAACCAGCATACTCCTGATCCTGTCCAGCGTAAAAGAAGGAAAAAGGCATAATTACATTGAAAGTGATGGAAAACATCTCCTTCAGGGAGGTTAGGAGAAGGTGCTCACTGTTCTGGGGCACAACGTTCACGGATGTGGCGCGTTTGGTGCAGCGCCACATCAGCCTCCGCCACGTGCCCGGCCCACGCAGAGTGAGCGGATAGCTGTGACGCTGCCCCCAAGGCGGCAGTAGCCAAGACTACTCTGCTAACTCGTGAACAGGAACCGGCGACCCCAGGGCCATCGGTTCCCAAGGCCTTGTCACACCAGGCGAGGCCCAAAACTTGAACTAAAGACCCACACGTGCGGTCTTCCAGTGCCTCTCAAGAGGCAATGGAAACAACACCGGTACCTCTAATGCCACAACATCGGTGCCAGGAAAACAAAAAAGCCAATAGCGGGGCCGGACGATAATCCTGCCTCTTGAATTCTAAAATACACTAAACCTATTAAAATACACACAGCACCATTCTATGATCATCATGCAGACACAAATACTGCAGTGTTACATCCGAGGCCTTCTTTGTAACCTCAATGACCTACAAGAACTGCTCCACAAACTCAATCTACATGTGTTGTGTGTACAAGAAACCCGCTTGAAAGCAAAACACTCAAACTTTCTACGAAATTACATCATTTTTCAGAGGGATCAAGATGATGCAATGGCATCATCGGGTGGTGTGGCCATTGTAGTTAATCGAGGCGTAGCATGTACTCACCTATAACTACAAACATCCCTTGAGGCAGTGGCTGTTCGAGCAGTTCTTCTGAAGAAGCTCGCCACCATCCGCTCCCGTTACATACCTCCACAGTACCGCCTTGAAAAACACGAATTCCAGTCCTTAATGGACGAACTGCCAAAGTCTTACCTGGTCTTTGGGGACCTGAACGCACTTAGCAGTCTATGGGGTGACTCTCGCTGTGATGCGCCAGGTCACTTAATCGAACAGTTTTTGTTTGTCTCCTTTCAGTGCATGTCTGTTGAATAGGAAAGAACCAACGTACTATTCCCTTGCAAACCATACGTACTTGGCTATAGACAGCATTGCATCTCCAACTCTTATTCCCCTAATTAATGGGTAATTTATTGGGAATCCCCATAGAAGTGACCATTTTCCAATAGTTCTGTACATACCAAAAGGAAATTAATGTTCTATAAAGTGATATTGCTTTAGCGCAGCTCAGTTTGAGCATGAAGGAAAGATACTATGCAGTCAAGAAGGGGAAAAATCAGACGACAGTGTGAGTGCTTTTATCATGCACCAACTTGCCCAGTCAGCAGTACTTGTCCGGTTCTCTACAGGTTTCTAAGTGGCATATTGAGAAAGCAGATTGGGAACAGTTTTAAAAAGATGCACTTTTAAATTGGATGCACCTGTGTGCCTTAAGCTTAAATGCAGCTGTCAACTACTTCACAAAATTTTTGATTGATGCTGCCACAAAATGTATTCCACAAAGTGAACTGTCCGCCAAATGGCCTTGGTGAAATAATGATTATCGAAATGCTCGAAAAAAGCAAAATAAAGCATGGAGGTTGCTTCGGAACTCACCGACAGCGGAGAACCTTGACAATTTTAAGAACATAAAATCTCAAGGCAGTAGAATGTGTAGACACGCGAGAAGGGAAAGCTGGCATAAGTTTTTATTCGTAATCAATTCATATACACAAGAGGCGAGAGTCTGGAACATGGTAGGAAAAGTAGTAGGACGGCAATCTCGTCCACTTCCACTAGTAAACACACAAGTTGGAAGCTTGAAAAACCAGGAGAAAACCCTCAGTGCACACTTCAAGCAGATCTCCAGTTCGTCCCACTACACTACATCGTTCCAAGGATACGAGCCTAAATCTGCAAAACACGAAGAATACAATGAACCGTTTGCGTTAGCTGAGCTAGAGGCATCGATAAATTGCTGCAACAACTCATCCCCAGGCCCAGACCATGTAGTATATGAAATGCTAAAACACCTGCCATCTGAAACTAAAAAGATCCATCTCTCCCTGTTTAATGCTATTTTGTTTTCTAGACAGATCCCATCAACCTGGAAAGAAGCCATTGTTATTCTGATTCTAAAGCAAGGCAAGGATTCATCTTCTGTTACCACTACAGAACGATCGCACTAACAAGTTGTCTTTGCAAACTTTTCGAAAAGACGATTAACCGCCCGCTTTTTCATTATCTGGAATCAAACAATTTACTTGATTCACACCAGTGCAGATTTCGTGAGGGTAGATCCATCACTGACCATTTGCTACGCATCGAGGCACAAATCCGCGATGCTTTTGTTCATAAACAGTTGCTTCTTTCAGTATTCCTAGATATAAAAAAGGCATACGACACGACATGGAGTTTTGGCGTACTGCGATACTTCTCATACTTAGGTGGCCAAGGTAAAATGCTTACCATAATCGAAAGTTATTTGTGGAACCACACTTTCCATGTTCGACTGGGGATTATCTTGTCACAAACATTTGTCCAGGAGGCTGGAGTGCCACAAGGTGGTGTGTTGAGTTGCACACTTGTTATTGTAAAAATGAATACATTGCATTCCTACATTCCATGCAATATGTTTTATTCCACATATGTTGACAACATTCAGATTGGTTTTAAATCCTGCAATCTCGTAATCTGCGAGTGGCAGTTTCAGCTTTGTTTGAATAAGGTTACCAGATGGGCAGACGAAAATGGTTTCACCCTCAACCCGCAAAAAAGCACATGCGTTTTATTTTCAAGAGAGGTCTCCATCCTGATCCAATCATTTACCTTCACGGCCAGCGACTAGCTGTTAAAACGGAACACAAGTTTTTAGGCATAATTTTAGACATGAAATTGACGTTTGTACCCCACATAAAAAATCTCAAAAACAAATGCCTGAAAGTTATGAATGTACTAAAAGTCTTGTCGCAGACATCCTGAGGCAGTGATTGAAAATGTCTCATGAATCTTTATAGAAGCCTCATACACACGCACTTAGATTATGGGACGATTGTCTGTCAGTCTGCCGCACCAAGTGCTTTTAAAATGCTTGACCAGGTCCATCATTTAGGCATCCGACTCTCTACCACTGCTTTTCCCACTACTCCTTTAGGGAGCCTGTACGTAAAATCGAACGAGTGGTCGTTGCAACTTCAGAGATTTACATGTCCTTGCTGTATTATCTTGAAGTGAATGTAAACAAAAAACACCCTACTTATTTGACTATTAATCATATGTTGAATTCTGCACTGTTTTACAACCAGCTTTCGTTGTGGCAACCCTACTCACTTCGTGTGAGGGGCCTTGCTCAGGAAACTGGTGTGGCACTTGAACACCTTTTGATGGCTCCTGCAGCGTACCTGCCACCGTGGCAGTGGCTGACGATAGACTGCAATTTGTGTTTCTTAGAGGTAACAAAGCACACACCCATTGTACAGATCCACACATACTTCATGGAACGGCAACATAAATACACTTGTCCTGAATTCTTTACCGAAGCTTCAAAGTCTACACTTCTTTGTCGTACGCAGTGGTCGGTCCATCCTTTTCCAATTCCGGCGCTCTGCATCCTGACACAAGCGTCTTCACTGCATAAGCCTTTGCGATACATATGGCCGCTAAACACATAAAAGAACTAAAGATACATAAGGCAGTAATATACACAGATTCCCTAAGTGTCGTGAGGGCTTTGAAAACTCTTAAAAAACACAAAAACCCTGTCCCTGCCTCGCTTTATTCACTACTACGCACAGTGTACAAATCTAAACAGCATGTTGTAGTGTGCTGGGTGCCAGGACACCGCGATATCTAAGGTAATGAGATGGCGGACCGGCTAGCCACATCTGTCCACGGCAGCGCTGTTAATACATCCGCAGCTATCCCTGCTTTTGGTCTAAAACCATATATTAAATGAAAGCTCAGAGCCTCTTGGCAGAGCACATGGGATAGTCACACAGAAAATAAATTACACTTTATCAAGCCGTTCCTTGGTATGTGGCCGCCAGCAGCAAAATCAGGCCACACAGAAGTTAGATTTGCTAGGCTACAAACAGGACATACACACAGCACACACTCATATTTTTTTGTGTTGGCGATCTACCTTTGTGTGGTAGATGTGGTGAATCACAATCAACCACATCTTCATCCAATACAGTGAATTAGATTTCATTAGAAAAAATCATTTTTCGTTAGCTTATTGTGAACACATTCCACTTCATCCTGGGATGTTCATTGACAAATAACCACTTTTTAATTAGCAGTCATTATTTGCATTTTTATATGAAATTCAAAGTTTCAGCATTATATACAAGGGAAATCCATAGCATAACCTCTCCAAAGAGGTTGTTGCTGCGGTAACTACTCTGAGAAGCACCTGCCTCTCACCCTTTGGTTTTCAAAGGGGTTGAAGAGGCATTCGTGCTAGTTTACATTCGCTCACTTGTAAATACCATGGTCACTTGTAATTTATTCCACACCCTTACATCAAATCGCGTATCACTGTCATAATTTTATACTTTATAAACACATTTTACGCTTTTATACAGCATGCGATTTTAGGCCTTTATACAGCCGTATTACACCATGTCATCGCAATTATTGGCCATTGCTTCTATCGCATCAAAGACATGGCACTCTTTGGCCACCCATGGCCCTTGCACCACAAAACTCCACTAATCATCGTCAAGGGTGGCCATGTTCCATGCAGCACAAGACGCCACGCATGCCGGGGCAAAAAATCTTGTGTTTGCTGGCAGTGCGTGGGTTTCATAGGTGGCAATATCTAGGGCTTATTTTGGACCGAAACATTCTTTTACTGTTCATTCTTCGTAGATGTGTAGGCATGATGGAACCTTTACTTCTCTTTATCGCTGAAAAACAAATTGTTCATAGTCCTTTTAATGAATGCTGGTGTTTTTTCAGTTCTTGGGTACATCTAAAGGTATCTGCACTGTACGAAAGTTATGCATATTTCATTGTTTAAAATTTTATGACAAACTGTTTGGTCTGTTCATTGTATATTTCAATTGAAAGTTTATTTTTGATAACACAGGAAAAGTGTATAGAAAGTTTTTGGGCCTGTAGCCATATGTTTGTAGTGGCTGTTTCAGTACACTGTGGAATACATAGTAATATGAGACAAGTTTTGAGATACGAGGAAGAATAAATGCTACCCCTCGTGATGGTGGTGCAGCCATGGCAGTGGCAGTGTGGACTCCCTGGGACGGCCGAGCCATCCGGCCACCAAGACGTTCATGGCACTTCGCATTCTAGTCAACAACGAGCTGAACGAGCTGCACTGGGCCCTGTCACTGCTGCGCCATTGGCTGCGACCGGGGGCACGCCTGGCTGTGCTGGCTTTTCACTCGCTCGAGGACCGCATCGTGAAGAGGCACTTTCAGGCACGTCAACACAATATGGCCTTGCTTTTGGGTGTGCTATTCTGCGCCAGGTTCAGTATTGAAAAATTCCCGCGTGGCTTGCAGTTCAGAATGTCATGGGCTCAGACTGCAATTTCATTAAAATGGAGAAGCAGGGACTGCTGCTACACGATAGGTCAACATATCTCTATAGTGACACACACGGTTATTGGCAGAGGAAATACAAAAAGGCCGATTGTTCTGGTTTGTGCTCGTGCTGGTTGCTGGTTTTGCCAAGGCCACTGACTGCTGTCTCGTGGCTGTTCGCCATATAAAACAGTTGCTTTACCAGGACTGCTATACACATTTTATCAGGGAAAACTGGCAATGCAGCACAAGGGACAAAAAAAAAAAAAACAGGTGTTCTCTGACCTTTTCGTTCTGTGCCACGCTGCACCCGAATTACGAACTCGCCCAGCTTGTTGTGTAGAAACGTCAAGGCGGACAGTGGGCATTGTGATATCATAATGAGTATGCTGGTGCTGTACAGAAAGGACCACACTGGTGTTCTCCATGTCATTTGATTACTGGAAAGCAGAAGGGATCCCAAAAATATCTTTATAAATTGAAATTAAGGGTGATTATAAGGCTTGTGCGAATAGTGATTTTGGTAGAATAATTCCAAATTGAGTTCAAATAGTGTAGGTTGCATGTTTTAAAGGAAAATGGGCATATTTGTTGTTATCGGAGTAACCTCCACAATACATATAGAAACAAGGCCTGTGCAAATGCTTTGTTTTGTTTTTTTATTTTCAGTAAGTGGAAGCAATGTTGCATAGTAGCAGAATTGGACTTTTGATAGAATGCAAGTGAGAACTTGTAAAATATGTTATGTCCTGATATTTATTATACTCAGAGCATATAAGCCGGTATAACAATCTTTTAAATGTCAAAAATGGGGAATAGATGCGAGTATGGTATTTTCATTTAACCTTGAAGTGGAGCTTCGCGACAGTGCAGACTCATATATAGGTGTTTTCACGGCTTAGCACCCCTTCACTGCAGTGAGATCACCTTTACAAAAACGTTATTTGCGGTTTTTTATACAAGTGACGGTTTAGCACCCCTCCACTGCAGTGAAACCACTTTTACAAAAACTTACACGTGGGCATTAAATTTGTATTTTCATGGCTTAGCACCCATTTACTACAGTGAAAATACCTTTACAAAAACTTTTATGCAGGCATTAAAATTGGTGTTTTCACGGCTTAGCGCTCCTTCACTACAGTGAAATCACTTTTACAAAAAATTACAAAAGAGCATTTTAACAGGTGTTTTCACGGCTTAGCACTCCTTCACTGCAGCAAAACCACCTTTAATAAAAGTTACATGCAGGCATGTAAACAAATGTTTTCACACTTTAGCACTCCTTCATTGCAGTAAAACCAACTTTACAAAACCTTACATTCAGATTTTTAGACAGGTGTTTTCACAGCTTAGCACTCGTTTTCTGCATGAAACCCCTTTTACTAAAAAGTTACCTGTACGTAGGTTTTCAAACCAGTAGTTTCAGGGCTTAGCAGTCTTTCACTGCAGTGAAACAACGTTGACAAAAAGTCACATACGGGTATTTAAACAGGTGGTCTTACGGCTTAGCACCCCTTCACTGCAGCGAAATCACCTTTAAGAAAGTTACTTGCGGACATTTAAATTGGCCTTTCATGGCTTAGCACCCCTTCACTGCAGTGAAAAAACCCTTACAAAAAGTTAAATGCGGGCATTCAAACAGGTGTTTTAATGCCTTAGCACTCCTTCACTCCAGTGAACTCGCATATACAAAAAGTTACAAGCAGACATTTAAATGAACATTTTCACACCTTAGCACCCCTCCACTGCAGTGAAACCACATTTACGAGGGCTACACATAGACTATTATACATCTAATTGTTCATATGAATACTACGAAATTTTCATTTATATGAAAATCGAAGCGAATTTGAGTACTGTGATATTCATTTGAATATTAGAAGCATTCAAATATTTGCATGAGCCTAGTGATTATTCTACACATATTGCCAGTCTCAACAGGAATTTTAAAAGAAAGGCCATACATATCTAATTATATTTCACAAATTTGAGTTGGTTTAATGGGTCATTCATAAAAAATTTGGAGTAATATAAAAATGAAGTTGTGCATTAATTAAATAACAACAAACACGTATGCTATAACGTGTGTGAGATCTTTTTATTATTTTTAAAAAAGCAAGATCTAGAAACCAAAACTGGTCTGAATTTCTTGTGAATGTCAAGCGTGCCTAAGTATCCAAGTTTTAAAACAGTATCAAACTGGGGCAATTCTTGGTTGTAACATGAATTCATAAAAGAGATGAGGGAGCACTTCCAAATTATTTTATTTTTCATAGGGCTTTTATTGTAGTGATAGAGAATTGCCTTGAAATTTCGTGCCATGAACATTGTTATGAATAGTTTGTACACAGGCTTATCTACATTTTTTTGTGGTACCAGACTGTGCGCCCAAATGAGACGAAATGAAAGGCCTTTTTTCAATGACCACACTACAGTTAAAGGACCATGATGAAGTTATGATGCTTCTATGTCCTAGATACAGTTCTGTCATGGCCCCTGTAGTTGAAGTACTCTGTAAATTTAGAATAAGCAAAAAAGATGGAATTACAGTCGAGCAGTACTGTCTTCATGTGTAGTAAAAGCTGGTAAAAACCGTAAATCATGCAAGGCATGCTGGTCCTGCCAGCCCACATTACAAAAGCCGCATAGAGGAGGCGCTCAGTGGGAAGATGACCATACCAGCCTTACCTTTGTCTGGGACCGACTGTGCCATGTGCGTAAGCTCCGCAAAACTGTCAGACAATGGCAGCTGCCATTCAGGCACGTTTGGAGGCCTCCTGGAAAATTCATTCATGTGTGGTGAAGTAGAACAGACTTTCTTGCGACACGTGCTTACTTGATTGTGCGCTCTCTCACCGCATGGTACAGGCTGCTCAAGCTTGTGGCTGGTGTGATGGGGCGAAATGCCAACACTGAGAATTTTGCAAAAAAAAATAAAAATTCTCTTGTATTTCCGGGGAACAATGCATAAGTTTTTGTATGAGGGTGTTTGACGTCATGTCGATAACATCAATAATATTTATGGCATCTTTGGCTGAGCTGTAGTGGCATCATGGAGGTAGAAGGAAAGTATTGTCAGACACCTCCTGAGTTTTATGCCCCGCTATGGGCCAGATGAAGATGCGAGCCATAAAACTCTAATTCTCGACAGCAGCACCGTCTGCAAGATGTGCCATTCAGCAGACGACAGTTTTCAGCGTCCTGTTTGTACCGAGAATAGAGGCACAAACGACGGAAAACCAAATGAGAGACATTTGTGAGACACTACGTGTCCAGTGGGTGCGTGTCTATTCCAGGCAACTGTGCTGAATCAGTTTTCTGTTAACTCATTGAGTGTTACGTTAATTTTTACATCACCTTTGCTGTCCAAATAAATCCCGGCAGCAAAAGTATCTTTGTGCGAACAGGGTCAGACTATGTAAGCTGTGTTGTGAGGCAGCGCCAGCTATAAAATAGGCCTGCAATAATAGTATGTGGCTGCCTTGTCTGCCAGGTCATGCGGGCCATCGGGATTGCGCCACACTCCATAGTCTATTTTCACTGTGGCATGGTAATATGCACTGGTAATGTGGCTCATCCAGGCGAACTTTCAGCATTTCACGCATGGTGCCCAGACAAACGTATGCCACTGCACGAGTGCACAAGTAATGCCACCAATGTCATCAGCTGAAGCTAAGTACGAGCCATCTTTCACAGGATGTGCAGCTTACCATTTAGAGAAAGACCCAGTATATATAGCAGAAAGCTTTCGTGCAGTAATGTTTTGCACTAACCGTATGTTGTTGCATATAAGTCGACTCCGAATATAATATGACTCCCCCCCCCCCCCCCCCCCCCAACTTTTAAACTTGAATCGGAAAAAAAATCTGCAAGTAAATTATTTTAAGAAATTGTCCACATTGACAAAACAAATCTTTATTGCCAGCAAACTACAACTTTAAGCCTTCATGAGGCAGTTGTGATCGCGCACTTCACGAAACCTTCGCGCGCCATGCTGTCTGGCAGCTCGTACCAAGCGTTGGACACCCAACATCCACTGTGCCACATTGCTGAAAGGAACCCGCCTCACACGCCCCGTCGGTGTCTGGGACTTGTCGTTCTGGTCCATCTAGTCTTTGTAAAGTGCCACCACCCGGTTCTTAAATGGCTGAATGAGTGCCGCATCGAGCGGCTGTAGCACAGCAGTCAAGCCACCCAAGGTTATCGCCAACTGGCAATCTAGGTTGACCACGGTTCTCTTCATGCGTTCCGTGACACGCCCTCGGAACGAGTTTAGCACACGCATGCTTTTAGGCCTGAGAAGACCGCTTGGGGGCCGGAGCCAGACGAGCAAAACCATTCCAGCACAGTCTTCTCTGTGAAAAAGCCCTTCTCGTTGATGCGAACAATGACTTTAGGGGGAATTTCTCCTTGGGCATCGTCTTCCGCTTGAAGACAATAAGAGGTGGCAGCTTGTGGCTGTCGGCAGTGCAGCACAGCATTGCCGCAAAATGGTTGTGTTGAATTTCCCGCGCTCGTTGCATAAGAAGAAGAAAAAACTGCAGGCGAGCGAAATCGTGAGCTCGTTTGAAGAAGACGAGAGATCATTCTTTTTACATTCTGGGCTCATGCGGATGCTAATAAACCTCTGTTCGAGCTCTTAAGTCTGTGTCGGCTGTTCAGTTGGCCACATCTTTTACTGTTGTGCTCATTGCCAGTAGTCATCAAGTGCACTTGCCGCTAACCTTTTGTTGACACGGTTTGTTTCCCTGGCATGTCAAATCAGACAGGTGTTTGATCGGCGTTGCCGATTTGGCCAAACGTGTAGGCCTGTTCCGCCTTCCATTCACTGATTAAGTTCAAGAAGGCTTCTTTTTTTTGTCATATTCCTCAGATGGCTTTTGACAAATAGTCAT